GGTGGAAATCTGTCAGGGCTGGGGCTGGGAGTGGGGGAGTGTTCTCAGACAGACTCCGGGCTCTGGGAAGAGCAGAGCTGGAAGGAATGGATTATAATCCACTGGATAAAATAAAAATCCGCTCGGGTACATAGGACGCCAACTGATAAATACAGATCAAGTGATGGGTATGAACAGGATTTGTATATAATCTCAAAATATCTCCGCCACAAATTACCTCTTAATTACAAAGGAAAAGTAATAAATTTAGAGTGGAAACACTTGGCAGGCACTGGGTTTGCCACCGATATTGGGACCAACCGGCATGGTGTTTTTTTCTTTTCTTATAAATTTATTTTATTTTATATATTTTTATTTTTGGCTGCATTGGGTCTTCATTGCTGCATATGGGCTTTCTCTAGTTGCAGCGAGTGGGGGCTACTCTTTGTTGCACTGCACGGGCTTTTCATTGTGGTGGCTTCTCGTTGCGGAGCACGAGCTCTAGGCACACAGTCTTCAGTAGTTGTGGCGCAAGAGCTTAGTTGCTCCGCGGCATGTGGGATCTTCCTGGACCAGGAATCGAACCTGTGTCCCCTGCATTGGCAGGCAGATTCTTAACCACTGCGCCACCAGGGAAGTCCCATGGTTTTCCTTGAGGTGATACAGCATCACTTCTGTGATGTTCTGCCAGAAATGTTAGACGCAGGTCTCATGTGAGACATTCTGTGGAACGACTGGCCCAGGCTCTTGAGAACGTCACTTCGAGAAAGAGGTGGACTAGGAGCCAGGTTGAAGGCGGCTGAAGACACGACAGTCAGTGTGTGGCTGTGGCCTGCATCTTGGAACATAGGAATAGCTCTAGAGGCCACTCCTGGGACAGTGGATGGGGTCCAAGCTCGACCTCCATGTCAGGGTTGCGCTGCCTGCTGTTTTTGGTCTGTGGCGCGTCTGTCCGCTGTGCATCCCAAGTGTGGGTTGATGTGGCACTCTGGCCTCAGGCGCTGGGCCTGGAGGAGAGCCTGCCTGGGGCAGGTGTGGCAGGGGGGGCAGCAACAGGGCGGGGGGGGGGGGCTGGCACCACCTCACCTTCCCAGGAGCTGCGGGAGGTGGAGAGGTCGATGACGAGGAGTGACATTTCAAAGTGCCTGGGTGTACAGACGTCTCTTAAGACCCTGCTTTCAATTCCTTTGGCTATATGCAAAGAAGGGAAATTGCTGAATCATATGGTGACTCTTAATTTTTAGGAGCTGCCACACTGTGTTCCACAGAGACTGTACCATTTTACATTCCCACCAAAAGCTTACAAAGTTCCCTAGAAACAGAAAATGATTACCAACCAGAATTCCAACCCAGTAAAAATACCCTTCAGGAATAAAGGGGAAATTAAGACAGTTTCAGACCAACAAACACCAAGTTGTCAGCCGCAGCCCCTTTACTAAAGGACATACTTAAGGGTGTTCTTCAGGCAGAAAGAAAATGCTCTCAGGTGGAAACACCCAATGCAGGAAGGAAAGGGCAAGTATGTGGGTAACTCTAGGTGACTGCTGGCGGGATAAAATAATACTGATGATGTCTTGTGGGATTTAAGACATTACACTGAATTAAAATCCAGGATAACAACAGCACATGAGTGTGTGTGGGAGGTGAGTGGAGTTAATTATTTTTGGGGGGCATGCGGGATCTTAGTCCCCTGACCAGGGATCAAACCCGTGCCCCCTGCAGTGGAAGCTCAGAGTCTTAACCACTGGACTGTCCCTAGTGGAGTTAATTCTGACCATGTGTTGCCTGGGAACAGGTAAAATGCAGTTAATTGGACCTTGATGCATCAAGGGTACCTATTATAATCTCTAAAGGAACCACTGAAAGAATAGTAAAAGGCTTACTTTGTTAGAGGGAGGACATGGAAAATAAAAAATATTCCAAAAGAGGGCAAGAAAGAACAAAAGAAGATAGAACAGCTGTGACAAACAGAAAGCAAACAATGAGATGGTGGATCCACTCTCTGTAACCACACTGAATGCAACAGGACCAAAGAAAGCAATTAAAAGGAAAAATGGTCAAACTGGAACTTGAAAAGGCTAGCTGCTTACAAAGGACACACAAAAGTAAAAGGATCTAGGAGGGTTGAGTGTGAAAGGATGGAAAGCAAAATCCTGCCAGCAGCAACCCCAGAGAGCAGGCGACGGGGAGGCCGGACGGTCCCCGGCGGGCTTTTATTCTGAGGACTGGAAACTACAGAGAGCTTGGAGGTTTCCCTGGATGCCACATCTGGGTTCTGATTCCTGGCCGTCTTGTGGGGAGCAGCCCAGCGTCCCCCGAGTGACATTTCCGAGAACTTCCTCTGTCGCGTGGCAGCCTGCAGCGCCTCTGTCCTGAGAGCCAGGCTTCCTGTGCACGGTCAGCACCTCGCTGGTCTCCCTCCTTTCTGTTCTCTTGACAACCCTTTGCTTCCCTTTGTTCTGGACTGGGAGCTGTGTACATAGTGGGGTTTGCTCTGTACTAGAGGCCGTGGAGAGGATCCATGTTTTTCCTGCTTATCGCCTCAAAGCTGGTTTTTCTATACGCGTGAAAGACGTGCCTGGGACCTGTCAGAGGAGGGAGCAGATGGCCCTGGTGCGTTGGCGTTGCAGGCTTGGTCCTGCCCTCGTGGGTGTGCGGGGTGCTGGCCGTGACGTGATGGGGACACTGAAGAGCAGCTTAGCGCTCCCCGTGGTCTGAGTTCCAGTACAGTGGCTGTTAATGGTGACAGCATTGGCGGTTTTGTTTTTAAAGAACCAGAGGAATAGTAGTGTCCCTGAGAAAGAGCGTGACATTGCAGACGTCTGCTCCGTGTCAGCGTAAACGTAGGACCAGGTGCGGGTCCCCGTCTGTGAAGGTGTCCCCATCCCTTCCCATAAGCCTCTGTGACACTGCCGCTGCCCTCATTTGGCTGGAACATGTTAGTGGGCTCCAGGGATGCCCTCAGGCTGCCGTGGGTGGGTCAGAAGGACCGTGGTGCATGGTGATTGACCCTCTGCAGTGTCCCCCTGCGGTGTGGGGATGATGAGCACCTGATCCTGAGCTGGCGGGAGAGTTGTGTGCCACATCACCATCCACTACTGTGGTCTCAGTGGCAGAACAGGTGGGGTGCCGTGGCTGCACTGTTTGTGCTTTTGGCCCCTGGGGAGGTGGGCCACTCCTCTCCAGCTGCGCTGCCTGGCCTGGCCCACGTGTGCTGCATGACAGGTGTCCAAGATGGAAAGGTGCCTGGTCCCACCGTCTCGTTAAAGTGCCTTTTCCTGGGCTTCCCTGGTGGCGCAGTGGTTGAGAGTCCGCCTGCCAATGCAGGGGACGCGGGTTTGTGCCCCGGTCCGGGAAGATCCCACGTGCCGCGGAGCAGCTGGGCCCGTGAGCCATGGCCGCTGAGCCTGCGCGTCCGGAGCCTGTGCTCCGCAACGGGAGGGGCCACAGCAGTGAGAGGCCCGCGTACTGGGAAAAAAAAAAAAAAAGTGCCTTTTCCTGAGTGTGTTCCACAGCACAAACCAGGGCTTCCAGAAGTTCTGTTTTTCCGGTGGTGGGCGTCCACACGGGGCTCTGTCAATTTAGAAGTGTTGTGGTCCCTTTTCCTCCCGCATCGAGGACACAAGTCCAAGGGACGAGGCGACTCCTACCATGTCCCTGGAGTCAGTGCAGCTGCTGTTCACGAGCGCCCTGACCAGAGCGAGGCTGGAGCCAGGGGCGTTTGCACGGGCTCGATGGGCCCCCAGCACGTCGTAGCCCTCGGCAACCCATGGGGACTGACCAGCGTTGCTTCCAGGGAGGCTCTGGGAAGAGGAGGCAGTGTGGGGAGCAGCAGCGAAGGGCCGGTAGGGCCGTCGTGGGATGAGCAGAGCAGGGTAGACTCCAGAAATCGATGCATGTGTTCCGGGAGTTAGGTGTGAAAGTATTCAGAACAAGGTGGATTGTGCAGTACTTAATGCTAACGGCTGGCTCTCCATTTTGATTCAAGGGAGTAGGTAGGTTTTACACACATTTCAGGTAGAGATCTAAATTTTAAAAAAACAACTACTGAAGCATTTGAGGAAAAACAGAAGAATATATGTGTAATCTTTGAATGAGGAAAGCTGGCCTATGTAATATACAGAAAAATCTATAAAGGGAAAGATTGATAAATCTGATTTCACAGAAATAAAAAACTTTTGTGATATCAAGATCAACATAAACAATGTTAAAAAGTGACATTTAGGGAGAAAATATTTTTCCCGTATATAACCAGAGGTTAATAGTAAGAATATTTAAAGGCATCTGTAAATCACTAAGAAACTCATAAACAGTCTAATAGAAAATGGACAGAGGTATGAACAGGTAAAGAGGAGGGAATTTAAGTGACACCCAAACTTCCAGCCTGACCACCAACCAGGGAAATGCAGACTAAACCCAGGTGTCAGTTTCTGGCTATTCACGTGACAAGTGGTGTTGGGTCCCACCCAGGGAGTGCTGGACTGCTCCTGGGAGGAAGTGGCCGGGGTGGGGGGGCATCGAGACAGCCACTGTTAAACCCACAGGTCCCTTCACCCACCATCCCCCTCATCCGTCCTGTGGCAGTTCTCAGTGCACGGGAGTGCTGGCCCACTCCGTGACCCTCTTGAGGGGGCCGTGGCACCGCTGCTGCGGCTGTGCCCACAGGGTCAGGTGGCTTTGCGGCTGATTAGCGAGTCTGCAGGCAGCGCTCTGTAGGAGCAGGGAGAGCAGAGCAGCTGTGCCCCGTTTCCAGTTATGTGCATAAAAATGCCAACCCAAATAACGCTCCGTGTGTTCACTTACACGTCTGCCTCATATGGAGGGAAGATGTGGGAGATGCCCATCTCCCTGGGAAGGACAGCGGGGTGGGAGGCAGGGTGGAGACACCAGCCCTTTCTGCTCCGTCTTCTGAATTGTTTGCGTCTGCAGTTGACATATTGGGATATCAGATGATTATGAAAATGTGGATTAATGCACGAGGACGTTGTCCGGCAGCTGCTAACGTGCCTCTTTGTTGGCAGGTATGGATCCTGGCGGGAGCCTGTCAACCCCTACTACGTCAACTCCGGCTATGCCCTCGCCCCAGCCACCAGCGCCAATGACAGTGAGCAGCAGAGCCTGTCCAGCGATGCTGACAGCCTGTCCCTCACCGACAGCAGCGTGTAAGTGCCCCTGCCTGGGAGAGCAGCCCCTAAGGGGCAGCCAGGGCCGTCTCCCCAGAAGCTGTTTTGGGGCCCTCCCCAGTGGGGTGTCAGTGCATCCACATGGCAGGGAGTGTCGCTAGAAATCCGCAAGCAAACTGGAGGCAAGGTTTGTTGTAGTTGCTTCCCTCCAGGCCGAGGCTGCTGGAACCTTTGGAAGAGGGAAAGCCTCAGAGCTGCCTGGGCTGGCACCCCAGGTTCTGGGTCTCGCTGGTGTTCACGTCAGAGGCGCGGCCAAGGCGGGCCGTCCCTGAGGGCGTCTCCAGTCCATCCTGCTCTGCGCTCACGCTCCTTTAATCTGGAAGCCGTCTCACCTGCTCAGCAGTGCTTGTCGTCACCTCAGCGTGGTTCTGTACTGGCCCCCTGTGCCCGACAGCTCAGGGATGGCCACCAGGGGCCACAGGAGCCACATTGAGCCTCTGTGTCACTTAATGGTGACAGCTTCCTTCATCGTCCTCTCCAGGGAAAACCCTCCTTTGGGGGAAAGTGCTTGTTTCTGATACCTTTCTCTTTGGTTCA